GGAGCACAGGCTCCGGACGCGCAGGCTCAGCGGCCATGGCTCACGGGCCCAGCCGCTCCGCGGCATGTGTGATCCTCCCGGACCGGGGCACGAACCCGCGTCCCCTGCATCGGCAGGCGGACTCTCAACCACTGCGCCACCAGGGAAGCCCTGAAATATTCTTGATTGTATAGTCTAGTTACCCAGGAACTGCTGACTGGTGCCCACCAACCAACTCAATTAACCAGCCCTTTAATACATTTAAATTAATTTAACTCTTTTAAATTTGCCTTAAAGTAAAAGTATTCTATGATAAGAATCTGATGGTGCATCAAAACCCTTTAGAGTAGTTGTAAAAAATGCAGATTCTTGAGCATCCCCTGAAACTACATGACACAAGTACAATTCAGACAAAAAACAAACATACAACCCCCTAACCCTAAAAACCCTAAAATCTTCACAGGTAGCTTTGAGTGTATATACCTGGTTAAGGACTTTAATGATAATATTAGGAACTTATAAATCCTGGCAGTTGCTTTTTCTAAATCTAACATCACAGCCTTTTGGGGATTTTGTTTCCATTTGTTGCTTCTTTTCATTTACCGCAAGTCACATTTTACTATTTCTTTGCATGTCTAGTAATTGTTGACTGTATACTGACATTGTGATGATGATGTGTACTGGACATTGTAGAGACTCTTGATTTTGTTATCTTCCTCTAAAGGTAGTTCAGTTACTGGCTGATCACATTGACCTTTTATAGGCTTGATTTTACCCTTTGTTAAGGTAGACCTGTGGAAAGCCCGAGGTGTTCCCCATGCCCTTCAGGTTTATGGGGTTAGCCATCAAATTCCTTCTTTTGTGGATATAGTTGAGGCTAGGTTTTAGACCATGTTAGGGCAGGTCTAAAGTAGCCCTTACTCTAAGGCCTGACCTTACTCTTAAGGCCTAGTCTTTTTGGATGCTTCGTGGGGAGGTCACTCCTCTCTGGTGGGCTGGAATTCCAATACTCCAGGCCTGCTCAACCTCTAGTCTCTCTGTTTCCCTTTTTACCCCATAGCTGCCTCTCTCTGATAAACTCTGCACATTCTTTCCCTGTGCTTACACAGCCCAGCCCTTGGCCAAGGACTTGGGGAGCTCCCCTAGCACCTTCCTCCTCTCCGATGCTTTACCCACAGATCCTAGCTGCTTCTCCAGCCTGGGACTCTGAACTCTGTCTCCCCAACTGAGCAGGCCCACTGTGTTCTGCTTGAACGCCGCTCCCTGCATGTGGGAGGGAAACTGTCCCCAGGCAGAGAGCTGCAGTGAACGTGGGCTCACCTCCTATGTTTCCTTTCTCTCATGGGCTACAGTCTTATGCTGCCTGCTGTCTAGTGCCTGAAAGCAATTGACTTATCAACTTTTGTCCTATTTGATAGTTGTTTATGGTGGTAGGGCTGGTCTGGTACTATTTACTCATGCTTGAACACTGATTTTTGGAAAAGAAAGTCTTCATATCATTATCGATCAAGGCTTATCTGCTCTAGGATGGGAACCCCTTGGCCTGGAGGTGGTGTTAGTGTGTGCTGGAGTCAAAGCCTTTGGTTGTAACAGAGAGATAAACTCATTCAAAGCAGATTGGAAAAAGGGGATTATATGGGGAGGCTACTGGGGTAACATATCATCAGGTCAGGAGATTCAGCTCAAGAAGAACTTGGACTCATGGTCATGAGTCCAGGGTTTATTTCCTTGCTCAGTCAGTCCATTCAACAAGTGGATTCGTTCTGCAAGCATTTGTTGACCACCTACCTTTTGCCATACACTGTGCTTGATGCTGAGATACAGTGAAGACTGAAAGAGAAGCAGTGCTTAGCTTCTCTAGGAGCTCATGATCTCGGGGTGTAAAGTTATTGACTAAATAATCACGCAACTGATAAAATTATAAATTGCGGCAAGTGGCAGGAAGGAAACGCGCGTGAGGCTCTAGGCGTGTAAAATGGAGGAGCCAGTGTAGAGGGGGGAGGATTTCCCTGGTAAGATTTCCTTGAAGAAGAGACTCGGGCGGAGGATGATGCGTAGAGGGAACAGTATGTGCAAATGCTTAGAGGCGGAAGGAAGCAAACTGTGTCAGCGGACCTTGAGGAAGCCAGACTTTGAAGGGCCAGAGGGAGAGAGGAGGGGGCCTGAGCGGGCAGGGCCCGAGTAGCCATGGGGGAGAGTTTGGCTTTTACCCTGAGATGGGAAAAGCAGGAAATAAACAAGGAGAAGCTTTAGGAGGCTCTGTCCATGGTGTCTATCCTTTCAGGGCTATGTGGTATCTTTGTTCTCTGATTATTCAGCAAACGTTTGTTGAGCACTGCTATGTACCAGGCATGGTTCTAGATTCTGGGATGTGGTATGAACGAACCAGCCAGAAACCCTCACCGTCATGAACTTACAGTTCAGCAAGATGATGCTAATAATAGTTAACACTTAGTGAGCATTTACCGCACGTCAGACCCTATTCCAAGTGCCGTCTGTGTTAACTTATTTAATCCTCAAAAAAGCCCTAAGAAGCAGTTACAGTTATAGGTCAAGGAGATGTCAAGGAACTTGTTCAAGATCATAGCTCTTGAATTGTGGACTCAGGATTTGGATTCAGGTGTCTGGCTTTGCCTGTTATACAGCTTTCCTCGTCTTTCACATCACTCTGCAGACCAGCTTTCCCTGCCGCCTCATTCTCACCAAGCAGGGAAGTCCTGGTGGAGAAATGCCCACCAGGCCCTCCTGCCTATCGATTTTCTGTGCTGTCCCTGTTCTAGCCCCTCACCAGCTCGTTGGAGCCCAAGTCCTGACCCTCAGGGAGATTCTGATTGGCCCTGGGTGGGGAGGGGAAGGGTGCCACTCTCTGGTCCAGTTAGCTTGGCCAGAGAGGTCAGACCATGTGCAGTGCAAGGCTCTGCTCACCCATTCATCAGGGGCTGGGGCCATGGAAAGTTCCAGAGAAGGGAATGGGCTGGACGTGCATTTCCGAGGATGCCCGCTACACTGTGCTTGATGTTCACGCCCCTTCTTCCAACAGCTCCCCCGGATCCGCCCCTCTTCTTGTTCGTAACTTTGAAAACTCAACGTATGACTTAAAAATCTGTAGCCATATCCTCAAAAGACACAAAGTGAAGTCTTAAAAAAAAAATCATTTGAATAGATTGGGTTCTCTTCAAAACGAGATGTGCTAACCCCTGATTTTTAACATAGGAAGTCAGTTTTTTTAAAACTTCTTTGAAAAATGAAGAGAAGAGGGGACTTTAAGAAGACAAGGGCCCTTAACCTTTAAGTAGGTGCGAAAACCCCTTTCGAAATCCGGAGGGTTGCCCTTTCATTCCCAGAAGAGCAGCGAAGCCCTGTTTTGTACCTTGCCTAGATGCTTCTGCTGGTTTCTTTCTTGATCTCTGTCTCTCTCCTTATCTCTCCATCTGTTTCTATTTCTGTACTGTACCATGGCTCACTTTTCCCCCTCTCGATGATTGGTCCTCACCTTTCTCTTTTTTATTTGCCACACTATAAAACTTCACTTTTTTTTTTTTTGCATGCCTAGTGGTCTTATGCTCCTCTTTATATGAAAATAAAATGAGTACATGACCATTTCATTCTCTTTCTTTACATGTAAAATTTCATATCTTAAGCATATGCCGTGTTCAGCTGTTTTTCTTTCTTTTTGCTTTCCTCTCTCTTGAATGTCACTTGATCTTGGAAGAAAGTTTGTTCCAAACCTTAAATGCTTTTCAGATCTCATGACTCATTCATTCGGTGAACATTTTGTCAAGGGCTTGCTGTGTGCCAGGCACTGTGCTAAGCGCCAGTAGTGTGATGATGGGTGAGATGGACACAGTCCCTGCCCTGATGTAGTTCAAGGGGCACCGGATATGCCAAGTAGACCAGGATGGTTGGTGTGACCGTTGCTGAGATGTGGGCGTGTCAGGGAGGCCAGACGAGGGCCATCTGGGATGACACCTGGACTCCAAGGTAGAACATGACAGCTGATTAGGAGTTCATCTGTTGGATTCACAACTTGGGGCGGGAGGTGGTGGTA